CACAACATTGAATGGAAGGCACACAGGCTTCCCGTAAGCCCTGTCCTCATACATGCATTCTATCTTCGTGATGAACACAACCAACAGTTATACCATGATGAACCTGAGACTCTCATTCAGACCAGGGGTGCTTTGGACTCACAACAATCATCTCCAAGTGGGCCTTATGCAGCTCCCATGAGAGATTGCTGATCTCAGGCACAGACAGGCAGGGATAACGAGAGTCTTCTTTCACGTCTTTAGCAGTGATGGGTATATGCCAAGTTTATTGGCCTTTATTTTAGAGTGAGGGTGGCTAAGAGGACTTGGGGTAGTGGACAATGGTCCTGATGCTGCCATGCTCGATTCTGGTTGTAGACATAGTTTAGAAAGACTATTTCAGTGCTGGTAAGACACGGAGATGGGGTAGTGGACAATGGTCCTGATGCTGCCATGCTCGATTCTGGTTGTGGACATAGTTTAGAAAGACTATTTCAGTGCTGGTAAGACACGGAGATGAATTATCTGTAATCTCCCTGGGTGAGTCTAATGAGGTGATTTGCTGCTCCCCAATTCTCAGGGTTAAGAACAATCCCTTTCTTAAGTGTCTTAGGCTCTTGCCAACAAAGGCAGCTGCTCATGGGGAGGATGGTGAGCCAGAATTCAGCATGTATCCCTTTGAGCAAGTACATCCCCACAATCTTCTCTTGCAGGGGGCAGTGCCAGGTGATGGTTCTGAGTGCTGGCCTTGGGGCCAAGCTACGGGTGTGAATTCTCTCACTGCTTCTTTGTGGGTTTTATGCCTTGGAACAGGTTATTACCTTCACACCTCCATCTTTAAAGTGGGGACAATAATGCCAGCAACCTCACAGAGGGGGTCCAAGATTAAAGGAGCTACAATGATATAACTTGATACTTAGGAAGAACTGGATAAAAGTCACAGAAACTTCTCCAACTCTCCAGAACTTTGGCACTTTCCTCTGTCAATCTGTGAAACTCATCTCTGGAAGGCCAACATCCTCATTTTCAAATGCCAGTTTTCAGTCTACATTTGTATCTTTTTAATTGCTGTATTTTATTTTATATGCATGGGTGTTTTGCCCTCGTGTCTGTCTGTACTGTGTTTGTGACTGGTGTACTCAGAGGCCAGACGAGGATACTGAATCCTCTGCAACTGGAGTTAGAGATTGTGAGCCAACATGTGGGTGTGGGAATTGAACCTGGGTCCTCTGGAAGAATAGCTGGTGCTCTTAACCACTAAGCCATCTCTCCATCTCCCCTTTCATTGTTTATCCTATTTGACCTCAGGATAGATTCTCTTGCACTCCTAGATGGTCCTTTTTGGCTTCTAAGACCATATCTTTTTCTGGTTCTTTTCTACTTTCTGACCATTTTTTTCTGCTTCCTTCCCTGGTTCCTTTACAAGGCCCACGTTCAAGTGTCTAGGTCTTTCAGGGCTCTATAGACTGGTTTATTGTTTATTTATATGAAGCTTTCTTAGGTGAACTCTTCCTTCCCATTCATCGGGAGTCTCCCCCCCCCACTACTATTTCTTCAACCCTTTCAAAATCAACAACAATGCAAAGAAACATAGTTTTTTTTTTTAACTGCTTTGGGTCACAGATTCTTGGAAATTTTATTGACTGTGCATCCCCTGGGAACTTTTAAGAGACAGGCTGAAGAAAGAGCTTTGCCCAAAGGTTGAAGTCTTCATGTTACACCTTCCCCCAACGCCACCTATTCTCCCATGCCACCGTAATAGCCCATATCCCATAATGCTCAAAAAGAAAGAGATGGGGAGGAGATGCTGGGTGCTGAGCTCCTTCTTGGGGTCTGTGTTTGGTAATTATGGTAAAGGAAGTGGCGTCTTGTTGTAATTAAGCCATGAGCTCTGGAGTGAGTGGGGCTGTTGGCTGTAAACCCCACATCCACCAGTGTTTCCTCCGTCTGGGCCTTCATCCCACGTTCCTGTGGCCTGAGATGGTTGCTCTGCTTTTTTCCTTACCTACTCCCTGGATTGATAGTCCTTCCTTCTGACTGTCCTGGAAAAGGGAACTGTGAGGTCAATTTTTACATATTAGCATAACCCCACCCCCTCTGTGTGTGTGTGTGTGTGTGTGTGTGTGTGTGTGTGTGTGTGTGTGTGTGGTGGGGCAAAGCAGGAAGTTTCATTTGTGCATGTGTTAATTATATTAGGATCTCAGTAGGTAACTGGAGAGATCGTAGAGAAAATTTCCATACATTTTTCATTTATTCTCTCCTGCTCCTTCCTGGAGCTTCTTTTAATCTGTTGTTTCATCTTGGTATGAAAATTTACTTCTTCTTGCTTAGTTTTAACTCCTTCCTTTCAGTTTGAGTTTTGGAAGATTTTCTTGACTTCTCAAATTCTTGACCTTAAAATGTTGATGACCTATGTTCTCAGAGACCCTTTCTCACCTTCGAATTGTTCACCTTTTAAGTTCTGCCCTTTTAATATTTTCATGTCATATTTACCTCCCTGAGACTATTGGGTTTTGTATTGGTTTTCTGAGTCTTCGTATCTTGCCCCTTATTTCCTGCAGGCTCTGAGTGCTTGTTGCTTTCTTTGGTGCCGAAACTCTTCGGAGATGTCTGGTGGTCTTGCACACAGCACTGTCTCTTTATAGTTAGGAACTGAGCTCAGGGAAGCTGAAAGGATCCCACATTGTGTGCAGGAGGTTGTCATGAACACTGTCAGCTTTGCTGTGAACTGATTGCAGGGTGGCTTCTCAGCAGGAAGAGTAAAAATGTCAACATCTGGAAGCCTATTTTCTGGCTTTCTCTTTGGAAGCATCTTCTCACATACAGTAGTCCTGGGGTGAGCAGCTCTTGGGAAGGGGTGGGCAGGTTGTGCACAAATGTGATGGTCCTAGAAACGGGAAGAAAGGGCTCAGCTTTATGCTTCATCCAAACCTTCTCCTCTGTCTTTTGAGTCAACTTCTATAGGAATAAGTTGCTCCTCTTGTGGGCTTGGGACAAGGCTGTGGACCCAGCTGTCTTGTTGAAGCATGGGCCACCCTGCCATCTTCCTGTGCACCATATCCATCATACCATGAGCTCTTCTGGACACCCTATGCTCTGTATGCATGGTCCCAACAGGTCACATGCCACTGGGGCTCTTTGGTTTTGCTCTGAGTCACTAACCTCCTTTGATGTGTTTTTCAACTTCCCAAATGTTGAAAGGTCTTGTTTATTCTCTTCTCTTTCTCTTAGTGCACTAATATTTCTTCAATTCTCTTGTATTTTGGCAAGGGTTTGGGTGGTGGCTAATACCAGGGTTTAGTGTTTCTCATTTCACTGCAAGTACCTACGGAAGTTTTCCCAATGAGTTTCTGAGGAAAGCGTTTTCCTGCGCTCCTTTTCGCAAGACAGGTGATTACTCTGGGCATTTGGGCCACCACTTATTGCCACTTTTGCACACGGTCCCTAGACACCATCAGCCATTTGTCACGGGTTGGAATAAGCCTGCCTGTGCTGACGGAGTGGAATCCAGGGTCCGCCGTTTGCATTTACCAGCCTTCCATTTAGTTCTGCCTCATTGGCGCTTCACCTCACTGTTTGATGGGAAATATTCTCTCCATAAACTTCAGTAAGTTGTAATGGATTTCTGCGGTGGAAATATTGTTCAAGCTGCAAAACCAAATCACAGCAGGCACTTTGTCTGGGGACCCTGTGTCTCGCAAAGCAGCCATTTAAAACACCAGCCGGAGGAAGCCGCAGACAGTCACAGCTAATTCCCTTTACAGGAGTTTTATTTGTATGCATGGGAGAAATATACCACAAAACACAATCATTGTTCTGCTAAGACGGCAGCATTAATTACTGCTGTCATTTGTGCCTTTGAGTCACCTTACTCACCGGGTTTTGTCTGAGGATTAGAAAATGGGGAGAATGGAACTGCTGCAAATGTCATTACTGTGCTTCGTAGATGTTGGGACAATGCGGATATTTCACGAATAGGACAGCCAGTCCAGCTACCACCAGGGATCTAGTCTAATTACTGTCCCTTGTAAAACATGGCTTAGGTGAGGCTCAGGGCCACACTGGGAGTGAGGAAGGCTATGGCAGAGTCCAGTGGAAGACATGTCATACCACGCTGGAAATTTGGTGGCAACGCTAAAGGTCATGGGACCTGGATTTTCATAATCATAGGTGCTGGGTCATGGCTGTATACCAAAACACATGGAGAACATTGATAATATTAATGCCCAGGTGTACCCCATTCTCTCTCTCTCTCTCTCTCTCTCTCTCTCTCTATATATATATATATATATACATATATGAGTGTGTGTGTGTGTGTGTGTTTGTATGCGTGCGCACACGTGTATATCTGTGTGTGTATGTGTGTGTAGGAGAGAGGTTGACATTGGGCTCTTCTTCAATTACTTTCTACCTTATTTTCTTTAGACATGGTTTCTCACTATAGCTGGAGCTCTACAGACGGCCAATAAGTGCTAAGCATCTTCTTTGTTCTGACTACCCAGTCCTGAAGTGCGTGCCACCATATCTGGTGTTTTAGGTGGCAACGGGGGACATTACTCAGATCCTCGTGCTTGAGAGGCAAGGACTTTGCCAGCTGAGGCTCTCCCCGGCTCTTCAATGGCAGCGATTTTCATGCCCCAAATAGAGGAGGGTGAAGGGCAACGACTGTTTCTAGGTTCTGCTTTTAAGTCTTATTACTGCTGCATAAACAAAGAAACACGAGATTTATTATTTTCAGCTAATTTGGGCTTGGGGAGAAATCAAAAATGATTTATGTAGTAGTTATTCCAATTCTTTTCTATTTTGGAACTGTTCCTATGGTTGAGAGTCAGCTCTTTTCAAGGAGGAGAATTCAGCTGGAGTTGTCTAAGGTCAGAGGTCAGGGAATTTGGGCGACACTGATCGAATGGACTGGATTCTTCTGGAGCAGATCGGGGCAAAGCAGTGAATGTTCCGTGGGCAGGGCTGGTTTTGAGTGGATGCGACCTCACCAGGTCCTTTGTCTCTCATGGTTTGTGCAGGTCCCGTGGCCGTCATCAGTGGTGAGGAGGACTCAGCCAGCCCACTGCACCACATCAACCATGGCATCACCACACCTTCGTCGCTGGACGCTGGGCCGGACACAGTGGTCATTGGTATGACCCGCATCCCAGTCATTGAGAACCCCCAGTACTTCCGTCAGGGACACAATTGCCACAAGCCAGATACATGTAAGTAATAGGATTGGATGCTGTCCCTTTTTTTTAGGGGGGGGTGGTATGGAAGCAAACCAGGTTGCTGGGGTTCTGGAACCTTCTAGGGTAACCTCCCACTTTCTAGGAGACCCCCCCCCACTCTTTGTCTCTAAGCACAGAGAATAGCCTGGACAAGGAGATACCAGTGGACAGAGTCCCCGAGGAAGGAAGGGCCACAGGTCTAAGTCTCATTCCCTCTTTCACTCACCCAGCTCAGCATAGCCCTGAGTAGGAAGAGGTGCTCCTGTAAGGTGGGGCTCACAGAAGAGCTTACAGAAGAGCTTGTCTCCTCTGCAGACCCCGCCTCGCTGCTAGAACATAAAACTTGGCTCTGTCTGCACAGCTTTTGAGGTCATCAGAAACTCCACCCAGGCCTCCATAGGAGGGGAAGGGAAG